ATATTGTGTTTTTGCCGGTTGGTTGCGACCTTCGGGGGAAGGAAAAACCTGGAGTTTCCGTTTGTAATCATGTTTACTGTAATTATATCGCTCTCTTCATGGCGAAATTTTTCGTGTTGGTGATTTAATCTTTCACCCTTAATTGATTTTGAGCAGATATCACTTTAGCCCTTTGAACTCATGAGAATTTTTTTGTACAATAAAGGACTTACTCTACTGACTCATGAAATAGGCATACTAATAAGTCCACGCCCATAGAATCATATTGTTTGTGGTTTGTTTTTGTAGCTTGCAACCGTCGACAAACGTTTTTGTTTGCTCTGTATGTCTGGGAAAATCCTGAGATTTTGATTGCACTCTTATTCCAGCCCATGGGTCCCATGGTCTTTTTGTTGGTTGCAATCTTCGGGTAGAGAAAAACGTGACTTTCTGTTTCTTATCTTTTTGGAGTAACTCCACCGCGTTTCTTGCATGACAAAATTTTGCATGTTGATGCTTTGATCATTCATTGCTTTTTTAATGAGCATTACTTAAGACTTTCCAGTCATGAAACAATAATTTGTACAGTACACGATTTACTGTACATAACTTAAAGTAATGAGTGCACTATTATTCCAGTCCATGGATCCCACGGTGTTTTTGTTATGTAGTTGCAATCAGCAAAAGCATACGCGTAAGCTTACAACTAGCGCGAGCAGATCTTCGTTCCCAGCGCGAGATTGAAGTCTTGTTCTCGACCCTGAAAAACCCACCTTTTCCTTTGGCTCAGAGCATAAAACTACATATAAGCGCCCTGGTTCTTAGTCCTTGCCTTATTCCCTGCCATCGCTGTGAAAAACACGCAAAAGAATCTTTTAACTCTCACCATTTGATCATGCAACGTGACTGACATCAACGCGAGAACCCCTGACATGTGCGTGGATCGGCGCGGATGTATGAAGTCAGGATGGCGCAATTTGTTCTAAAAATAGAAAAATTTTCCCATATCATAGGTGCGCGCGGATCCCAAGACTTACGGTCTCCGTCCCCGATTACGGCTCCTGTTCCAGATAGGATAGTGGCCGGTCTCGTGGGTGTGTTTAGAAACGGCGGAGACCTGGGTACGGGCGAGTCGTATATTCCTGTCGTGTTCTCTGATCCTCTCCGGCATAGATCTCCCTGTTTCCCTGATGTAGACTTTGCTGCACTCACAGGGAATTCTGTAGACAACACCATCTTGTTTAGCCGGGTTGACGGTGTCGTTTGGTCGCACTAAGTGTGACCGAAGTGCCGTGTCGGACTTGAAGACGGTGCGAATGCCTTGTTGTTTTAGGCAGCGGCGGAGAGACTCCGAAACTCCAGTCGAAACGTCGCGATCTACATCTCAAATGACTACATCGTGAGGCAAACGATAATACACTTTATTATTGCATCTACCACGATGAATAACAACAACCTTTTCCTCGACAAAAAAAAAGTTTCTATTTCTGATCATTTTGTTAAGACTCCAACTTGTTTCTTGCCTGGTAAAATTTTGCGTGTTGATGCTTTAATCTCATATTGCTTTTTATCTAATGCCACCTAAGACTTTTTCAGCAATGAAATAATCTTTGGTATAGTACACGAACTACTGTATATAATTTATACTAATCAGTGCATTCTTGATTCCAGTGCATGGAGTTTTTGTTGGCTTCAAACTCCGGGTTTCGAACTCCGTCCCTGATCATTTTTACATGTAACTCCACCGCGTTTCTTGCATGGCAAAATTTTGCGTGTCGATGCTTTGATCTTTCTTATGGCTTTTTATAACCAATACCACTTACGACTTTCCAGTCATGAAATGATCTTTTGTACTCTACACATAATAATTATAAATACATAATAAATGTTAACGAGTGCGCTTTAAATTCCAGGCCATGGAGTTACATGGTGTTTTTGTTGATTGCAATCTTCGGCGGGGGGAAATAAACTTTATACTAATGAGTACACTCTAAATTCCAGTCCATTGAGTTTTTATTGGCTTCAACCTCCTGGTTTCGAATTCTTTTTCCGATCGTTTCAATGTAATTTCAATGTGTTTCTTGCATGGGAAACTTCCCCGGTTGATGCTTCGATCTTTTATTGCTTTCTAATTAATAACACTTAAGACTTTCCAGTCATGAAATAATCTTGTGCACGGCACGAAATTAACATGACTGAGTATGTGTTAATTCCAGTCCATCACATGGTGTATTTGTTGGCTGCAAACATACAAAGACTCCGTTTCTGATTTCTGCAAAAAAAAGATTTTAGTGGAACTTCTGGTATTGGCCTTTAATTGCTGATGCCTTTGATCGTGAATTGCTGCCCATGTAGTCATATAGGCTTTTTTTGTTTGGTTGCAATGTTTTGGTCAAATTCTTGCATTCGATTATCTAGAAAACAGAAATAAGGAAATAAAGAAACGATTTTATGTTCGCAATCAGTTTTGTAGGTGTGATTCAACCGAGTGCCTGGCCAAATTATCCGTTTTGATGGTTTGATCGCTAATTGGTTTTGAACCGGCTCATGATATCACTTAAGCGCTTTGAACTATTGCGTGCACTCTTAATTCCAGTCCATGGAGTCACTTGGTGTTTTTGTTGGTTGCAATCTTCGCGTGGAAAAAGCCTGAGTTTCGAATTCCATTTCTGATCACTTTTGGTGTAATTTAATGCGATTCTTGCATGGCAAAATTTTGCGTGTTAATGCTTTGACCTTTTATTGCTTTTTAACTAATACTACTCAAGACTTCCAGTCATGAAATAACTGCTCTTGTACAGTACACGAACCACTCTACACAATTTATGGTATTGAGTGCACTCTTAATTCCAGCCCATGTTGCTATTTCGCCAGTGCGATCCAGGTCTTAGTGATATTGGTATTGCGGCTATTAAAGGGCCACAGACCTTTTGCAGCAAATGGCGATTACAGAGGGAAAAAAAATAAAGTCATGCCTTCATATACAATATTTAACATACTTCTTGGTTCCGGGAGCGGAGTAATAGGCCATTTTTTAACACTGGGCAAATGTTATGTGTTCCGTTATGTCCTGGGGTTCGGGGCTCCGGGATTTCAGTCAGCTTCTTCAAGGGTAATGTTTGTGAAAAGGATTGTAATATTTGGTGTCCGACTACACAATCATTAAGCATACAGCTCAAAACAGCATGCCTTCATGACGCGTGGGATAAAAAATGTAAAAATTGTAATAAACAATGTTTTTTTTTGTTGTTGTTTTTTTTCCTTCCTGTTTTTCTGCCACACGATTCGGGACCAAAATAAATTCTGTTAATTAAGGGAGCAAATTGTTAAAAGAATCTGCCTCCTCATCAACAAGTCTGTAAAGGAAGCATTTTCTCTCCACTGGCTTTATAGTAGAAGTGCACGCTCTTTCTGCGAGTCTTTAAAGGTACTTAGAATTTCTGGTATTTGTAATGACCAAGTATCCCGCAATTTTTTTCTTTTAAGACCACCAACAACGAAGTCACAGCGATCGTGGTGTGATATGATCTGGAGTAAAATCTGAGCGAGAGACAAAATTTGATATGGGGGATACAAAATATACCAGCAGTAACCACAAGTCATACGCTTGCATGCAATCTTCGCTCAAACAACTCAGAGAAAAAAGATGTGCCATTGGTTTCCATTAGATGGAAAAGGTAAAAGTAATACAATATTTCGTGGCGACAGAAAAATATGTCGGCTTTTACTATTTGGACGACAGGATTGTAAGTCAAGTCCACGGTAAAGTTAAAATGCTTTGTTAGGACGCCGCCGACTTCTTCGATATAATCTGTTCAGCAAATGTGCGATGGTGGATACAGAACGAATTAAAGCTTCCACGCCAAACGAGCTAGGTCGAGTTGCGCTAATCAACCCTAGAGGAAAGGATTTCTAAATTGTATGATGCTGCCCTCCAGGACAACATATCAGTTCGGTAAGAGTATAACCTACAGGTTTGTACGCATCGTTCAATATTTACTACAGGTATACTAACTAGCTAACAGCAGCCCAGTTCTGTGCTAACTAGAGTTTTAAATTCGATTGAAATACCGCCGCATCTCTGAAAACGACTTTTGTGACTCTACTTTTAATATATGAAACGAACACAATTTAACTCATTACTGGTAAGAATTAACATAAATTCATAGTTTTATTGGTAGGGGTTAGAACTGTACTGGGTGGAAAGATTATGTCATTTGTCATTTTTCGTAGCATGCAACGAGTGATAAAACATGGTTTATATTTTTATCTCAAATCTGAACACTCTTTATAGTCTGACAATTTAACCCTCGGACGTACAACGGGGGAGGCGGGGGGGGGGGGGGGGGGGGGGTTAGGGGCGGATGCCACCCTCTATACGTTTTTTTCACCATTTTGAAAAGTCGATTTTTTTTTTCAACGTTTAGAAAAGTCGATTTTGAAAAGTCTAAGGGGCTGATACTTTCAGTGGCTGTTCTTTCTTCCTCCTTAAAAATTTTGATATGTCAATTGTGTCCATCATTTTTGACATTGCTATGGCAACCACAAATTTCATGTAGGTCTGGCCAAAAAACTTTTTCGACATAATTCAGTATTTTTTTTTTCCAGTTGTCTTCATCAAATTGCGGATATTTACGAATTTGTTCATTTAATAAGCATTCTGGCTTGATTTTGTATTGATTTCCATTACTTCTTGACTTTTCAATTTTAAGAAAACAGTGAAATCTAAGTAATACGGATCCATGATGGGGGTCAAATGACGTCATTTGACGTCATATGGCATCATAACCGACAAAAAAGGTATCATGTTGTGGAGCAAGCTCAGTGATATCTAATCAATGTAAATTTATACCGCTGTGCCTTAACAGGACGAAAACCCAGGTTAGAGTTTCTATCCACCCCCACCCCATCTCTCTTGTACCATCGTGGGGGGGGGGGGTTAATTAGCTTGTACGTCGGAGGGTTAATTAACACATGTCTCCTAAACAAAGGACAGTTGAACAAAACTGATGCACATTCCAGACTAGTTGTGTTGTACAAGTGTGTCGAATGTCAGGGGAATCGGTGAGGTACATGAGACTCGTCTGCATGATCCTCACATTGTCTCTCTCTTAATACGACCAAAAAACACAAATATGTATATTTGATTCTAGCACGTGAGGAATTACACGATTTTATAACTAATGTCTTCCGAACAGGACCTATTTGAGCCTTGCGTGATTGAAATTTTGTTTTTTTTAGCCAAGCAACAGCGACGCCCACTTTTAATATAGATGTGTAGTCAAAACATTTCAAGTTACCGCGACATGTGACTAAATTCCTGTTTAATTAAGATAGGCAATGCCATGTTTAATTAATAAAGGCGATGCCATCAAAAGACTCTTGTGCAGCTTTAAAGCCTGAACTCGGGAAGAGATAATAACAGAAAAAAAAAGAAGACTTAAAAGAAGTGATTTAAATGGACAATGATACCTTAAAGTGTGTTAAAGTAATAACACGTCCCTTGTTAGCATTGTAGTTGTAAATACTATTAACATACAAAATATAAAATATGTCAAGATGATTCAAGAATGACCTTTAAACTCACGATCGCTTTGCCTAATATTACCTCCCTTATCCTAGGTTTGTTATCAATCAAGCATGCCAGTTATTTCTGTACTGAGGAGTTAAAATTAGAAAATGTAGATGTCGGTTTTTTTGTTTTTTTTCCTTACACAAAGGGTCAAAACAAAAGCACACAGTTGAAATCGTTAGAATTCAGACTGACACCCCTTATTGTAGGCACTGTCAATAAAGCCCCGAAAAAATAAAACCGAGACCGTGTCAAACTAGCTATTACGGCATTTCCCTTTGTAGATACAAAATACCTGCAAAGAGTCAAACAATTGTGCGTGTCTTTTGAGCGTAAAGTTCAACCAGGTCTTTGGATGGTGAGCTAATTTATGTTGAAACAACTCGAAAGACATATAATTTAACGGCCTGTAACAAAAATTACATAACTTATATTGTTTTAATATCTTGAATAATCTTAACTACTGGCATTTCAGGACACTGAAGGACTTAACGACTTAAATGGTTTTCACTTGAAACTGTTGGGAGAGCATTTTACTCTTGTCTACGTGTTTGATGGCCAAACGTTAAGCGCGCGTGCTTCGCCGACCAAGAAACGCCGTTACATTAAGGTTTGTAGAGTTTAATTATCATCGTTAGTTGGACTACGACAAAAAGAGAGAGAGAGTGGGAGAGAGAAAGAAAGAAAGTAAACTGGAAAACGTAGAAGTACTACAAATGAACATTTCTTAAAGAGTTTGGCTTGCTTCTAAAAAAAAAAAGCGATATTTACTTCTTTTTTTTTTTCCTTCATGAATCGTCCTCCAACGGAATCCATAACAACAAACAAGATCTCATTTTCTTGCAGCAAATAAGATGTATTATAGGTAATTTCATTGTGGCAAGTAGGCGAAGTCAGTCTGTTTGATCAACATCTTATTCATGCATCATGTCTAGACGAAGACGAACTGGGTATTCTTTCTCTACTTTAGGAAATCTAAACTAGCTAGTCTCTCAGGAGTGGAGGCCATCCTGATTTCATTCAGTAAGTGAGGTTTCAGGCTTTAATTTATAAACATTTGGTGCATGTTATAAACCGCGTAGTTTCCATAGGCCAAATATGTCGTGCAACTTTTGAAGCTTATAGACTTAGTGGGTCATGGTCGGAATATTTCAGACATATTTTCTCCGTTGGAAGGTAGCCAAGAGCTATAACTGTACTATTGTTGCAGATAGCTGCTCAGCGACAATTAAATTTCAGAGCGAAACCTGATTTGCGCAACTTTACCTCCCAAACAATGAAATAAATTCCACTTTTGTTAACATCAGAAGTCACGAATTCAATTTTCAAACTTCATTTACATATACCGCAAAATGAATTGAAAAAGCTTTAAAATGCGATAAGACGTTGCAAGATTCATTTCGCGTACAAGCTATTACTGTAAACCAATCTTAATTTCGCTGCGATTTCACATATATAATTAGAATTGAAATCAAGGTAAACATTAAACGGGAATGTTTACTTTCCTTCGCTATATTCACAATTAGCCTGTCTCTCACTTCAAATAAAGTGCACAGTATGTTTATTTTAACACATGCCGCTCGGTCTTGATGTTCTTTTGCCTATTGTTGCGAATATATTTGCCCCTCCAGTTTTCTGCTACTCAATTTCAATTTCTTTAGGTCTATTATTTAAGGGCATAAACGTTTACCAGTCAAACTGTAACGCATTGGGTATGAAATTGACGGATTGTGTACGGGCGACCGTGTGAAATAATACAATATGCTAATGACACGTGTTCCAAATGACTGATATTATAAGTGATTTTGGCCCACTTACAAAGAGTCGGCTTAGTTCGAGAACATAATGAGACCGATGAAGTGTTAACCGAAGGGTTCATTCGCTGGCTGTTTGTAGACAAGGAAAGAAATAAGTCATGTATAAGCAATGTGCCAAAACTATTCTGGGAAAATCTGTATTAGCTGACCGGATAGGTAAACAATGTAAACTGGAATCAAAATCCACACTAACTTTGACTTAAGCCTTTAGCCGAGTTTGTAACAACTGTGCCGCTTTGTAGTATTAGTACTCAATTACCGTCGGCCGGTCTTCTGAGCAACTCATGCATAAGTGGTTTCGATTTCACTGCGAAGCTATTTTTGTTGATAATTATTGCTCGTTCTCTCATTCCCTACTCCAACGGTGTTTCCTTCGGTAGGGTTTGTCGAGTAAAAGTAATCAATGTAACAGCCGCAAAATCCATTCAGGGTTCATGGTGAACATTGTTAGGGACATCACGTGTCAATTCACTTGCTAAGCAAGAAACCGATGCGGACTAAAAGATGAATAAAGACTGTCTCACCATGATTGTAGAAGTGGTCTGCGCTGAAGCTAGGTTAAAGCGGGTTACTAAAATGCGACAGTTACATAACACTATCCATCGTTATTTTTGGCTCGTTTTCGTCGCTTTCATATGTTTAGTCTAGGCTCAGACCACACGGATTTTTTTTAATCAGTGCACGTGCTAGAATAACAAAAGTTTTTTTGAATTTCTATTCAATCGGTATCGTGGGGGCGGCACCCTAATCATTAATTACACCTGACTGAGCACTAGAGAAACTAACATAATTAAGGCGACCATCTCGATATATGAAGGAAGTCTAAAAAGAAAAGAAAATGAACTTTCTTATCGGATGTTGAGGTCAGCTTTCACCTTAAGCTTAAGTTTTCAAATCCGTTTTCAAAGAGTGAGATGAACCAACTCTAGACCTTAATTTAAGTTCATTGGTTTTCGATGAACCGCCCAAGCAAATGACCTAACTTAATCTATTTTTCAACATTGCGTTAGTACTTTAAGTTCATTGCTGCCTGCTCAGGCAACGACAAGTTTCTTGTCGTTGAGAATTTTAAATTCTTAATTAATCAACGACTGTATGCAAGAAAAAAATATGACTTTATTCTGACCTCTACGATTAAAGCTAGAAAGCGTTTCTGCAATCATGATCACGTAGGGGCTAAACCACCGCCCTAATGTTTCATGAAGGCTATATTTGCTTGGTTTATATATTTCTGAACCAAGTTTGGCAGATGAGCTTTCTTTGTTCTCCAGTTTGTTTCAATTTGGAAGTTGTGACAAAATGTCAGCTTATGACGTCATAATTAATGACGTCACCAAAACGTCCTATAATTTTTGTAAAATCTGATAAAAAGATTATGTCATTAAAAAGGCCTTGACTTGAGGAGTAAAATGCCGGAAACCGTTTTTTGCTATGATGATTATTTTTCGAGATATG